GGCGCCCAGCCGTAATGGCCCCGGCGGCTGCTGAGAAGGCTGGAGCGGATGGACGTCTCCGTGTAGAGCAAGTACAGGCAGACAGCCGCCCCATGGACACGTGGGTGTGGTGAAGCTGGGAGAGCTGTCTCAGCTTGGGGAACTCCAGACCAGATCACCGCTCAGGCTCCTTCATTGAAGACCCTGTGCTTCCTCGCCTGGGCCCCAGGCCCTGGGCTGGGGTGCCGAATACAGGGCTGAGGCTGGGCTCTGAGCCTCCTTCCCCGGTACCAGCCTGGGGAGCTTGACCCTCGGACACACCTTCAGCCCCTTTCCTTTCCCCAGGCCCCACGAAGCCCCCAGGAAGCCCTGTGAGCCAGGTGTTGGTGTGCCACCCTGAGGAGAGGAGGTTCGGGAGGTGACAGGGCTGCCAAGCTCCCATAGCAGGGGATGACAGAGCTGAGACAGGAGCTCGGGCACCTGAGCTGAGGCTGGAGCCCCTGCCTGGAGTCAGCCTCTGCCTGAGAGTCCCTGGCCAGGCCCGAGCCCACCCACATCGAAGGCAAGCTGCAGAGCCGTGTTGTTACAGTGTCCTGCGCCCAGGCGGCTGGCAGACGTGTGCATCAGGTGGGCTGAAGGACTTGAAGGTGCCTTGTAAAGTGTTGCAGGAAGGTCTGCGGGTATCCCTCAGTGCCCTCTCAGGCCCCCCGTGTGTCCAGGTGGGCATCAACCAAGCCTTGCTGAGTGTGCTACATCGCCTGGCCTTCAGTACAAGGCACAAATAGTGAGGCAGGTTAGTCGGGGGCCTTCATCCATCTTCCAGAAAGCCAGAGGGCGGAGGTCAGAGACAGCCCAGGCCACGGGAAGAGAGGCTTATGGAGCTGCCAGTCCCGGGCATGACACCCATGTGCTTCAAGAACAAGGCCCTTTGCCCGCGAGGCGAGCCCGTCCAGGAGCATGGTATTAATGCCACCTACATTCCAGACAGAAGTGGAATGGCCGCTGGCAGCCGAGGATGTGTGACCGGCAGCCTGATAGAGATTCATGACCCCCAAGCCTGACCCTCACCTCACACCCTCCTGCTGCCCAGGCGAAATGTCTTAATGGAGGAATGGATGGATGAGTCCCCAGGATTTCCATGGAGCATAAGACAAATGCCCTCGTTTTCTTAGCCTCAACCTTCCTCTCTGTAAAACGGAGGTGATAACTCCTCCACCTCACAGTTCTAGGACGGAAATAGGGTAATGATTACCACGTGCTTAGCTCAAGGCCCAGCACAGAGTGGATATTAAAAGAATGGCTCTTCTGGGGGCCAGGAGGTGGCTTGGTGGTTAAGGCACTGGACTTCCACATGGCTGACCACAGTTTGAGTCTTGGACTTGGTGGCCTGAAAATCATAGTGGCACATGTGCATCCATGCCCAAAATCCCGAGAGGAGAATGGAGAAGGGATTGTGGGGTAGCCATCCCGTTGGGGGTGATTCTCACTTTCTCTCTCCTCCCACCCCCATCTCTCTCTAGCTCTCTCTCTCTGGAGAGTGCATGTAGCCTATGGCAACAAAATTTTTTTTAAAAAATGGCTCTTCCATCACTTCCCTTTGTTTCTCCCTGTCTCATTCACTCACTTGTAAGCACTTAATAAACACCCGTTCTGTGCCACCCACCTGTTCCCTATGATCAAAAAGACTGTAGCCTCCCAAAGAACCAGTCTTTACTGGCTCATGGGGAAAGATTGATTCTCACACTGTAAGGGTGGGCGAGACCTCCCGTCCCTATGCATGTCACCTGCCTGTGTGGCAACATGTTGCACAGTCACCAGACTCTGCCTCCCAAGCCCTAATGTTGTGGGGTAGCCATCCCGTTGGGGGTGATTCTCACTTTCTCTCTCCTCCCACCCCCATCTCTCTCTAGCTCTCTCTCTCTGGAGAGTGCATGTAGCCTATGGCAACAAAATTTTTTTTAAAAAATGGCTCTTCCATCACTTCCCTTTGTTTCTCCCTGTCTCATTCACTCACTTGTAAGCACTTAATAAACACCCGTTCTGTGCCACCCACCTGTTCCCTATGATCAAAAAGACTGTAGCCTCCCAAAGAACCAGTCTTTACTGGCTCATGGGGAAAGATTGATTCTCACACTGTAGGGGTGGGCGAGCCCTCCCGTCCCTATGCATGTCACCTGCCTGTGTGGCAACATGTTGCACAGTCACCAGTCACCAGACTCTGCCTCCCAAGCCCTAATGTGACCTGTTTTTGCCAGCCATGGCCCTGAGCCTGGGACAGATGTTCACAGACCTTTCTCAGACTGTGAGACAGTTGAGGCCAAGGGCCTGCCAAGTGCACCTCCATACCCACCCCCAGCCCAGTACCAGCACATAGTAGGTACGCAGAGAATGGGTGGCTGCACATGTGAGTAAGTAGGTGCATGGATGCACAGTGGCCGAGGGACTGCTGGGTGGACTTAGGGAGGATAGACAGATAGACAGTGGACAAGCAGCGGGTATGGCCTCCCTGCTGGGCTGTGTGCCCCCTAGAGGGCAGGGTTGTGTCCTGCCTCCTGCTGAGTCCTCACCCCCCGACACATGGTGGTGAGTTCTGCAGGTCTGTACTGAGCACACACAGTGGGCAGCGCTCAGCACAGTGGGCTGTGCTCCATGGGGCTCTCAGAGCTGGTAGGGAGTGGTGCGTGTGCCCTCCCCCTCACTGCTAAGGACTTCAGGCTTGTAAGCCCTGAGCATCTGCCTCTGCCCTGCGTCCTGGGAGGAGAGGTAGGTCCTGCGTGAACTTGGGCAGAATGGGTGCCAGCGTCACTCCTGGGACAGCCGGGGCTGTGTGGGAGAGGGTCAGAGAGTTTCTGCCTCCAGCGGGCCCCACATGGATGAGTGTCATCCTCGAGGGCAGCCTGTGAGGACGGCGAGGGTAGGGGAGTGCAGATTCCACCGGGGACCCTGGGCTGGAGGGCAGGCGGCCGGGATGTGGCCCTCCTCTGCCTACTGTCCCTTTGCCGCATTGTTTTTATTTAGCACCCTGTGCAGCTAGACAGGCAGCCTGTGTGCCAGGAGGAAGCAGGGCCTGCGTCGCGGACTTCGACCTGTTAGCTGTATGACCTTGGGCACGTGTGTTCATGTCTCCGCGCCTTAGTTTCCCATTGTGAGGACAGGCGTAACCAGGATGTGTGGGTTATTCTGCATGAAATGATAGAGCAGCTCAAGCTCCCAGGGTGTCCCCTGACCCTGAGCACCTGTCCCTAGCTGTTAAACGGGACCAAGTGGCATGCTGTGTGCAGCACACTCAGGACGTGGCCCTGGCGCCCAGGAGGCAAGCTCTCCTCTCTCTCTCTGTCTTCCATTGACAAAAAGCACACCTGGGAGGGTAGATGGTGACTGCCCAGCAGGGCGGCGACAGGGTGGAGGAATGATGTGGGGGACCCAGTCTGAGCTTCCTGACCCAGGAACCCACTGAGCCCATAGGCTTGTTTCCCTTCGGCCTGGCCCAGAGGTCTCACTTGACCCTTGGGGACAGCTGTGGAACTGGGCCAGGGAGCAGAATCACACCCCCC